CACTAATACGAAATCCACTCTATTGAATTACAAAACTTTACAGTACCTATTTCTAGCAATGTGCCTCCCTCGTCTACAATCTGGAAAGTAATTTTTAGAATACAAACATTAAATATCAAGTTTATAACTTTGCCGCAGACCGAAAGTTACGCGGGCTCTGGTTGCCATAATAGAGCTTTGAAAATATCTCAGACATGCGCATTAAGGCAAGATGTTCCAGTGTTCAAAACACCTCMTTTTCATGTGGTATATTCAAAGGAACCGCGCATTTTGGAAATGTGCATCACATGAATAAGTCTGTCCCGGAGGACAGGGAGCCCGTCACTAAGAACGGCTGCAAGGAGACTAGAATAAGTCGTAACTTACTTGGAAATTTCTCACCCATATACGTTTGTTATCGAGAATGGAGAAGGTCATAACACGATCAGTGAATGGCTTGCTTTTTGGATGGTAGTTCGGAGTACTAAATATCTGAATGGGAAATAAATAGCAAATAGCCTATTAATTTGAAATGGTAATTGAAGACACAACACAAATATCTCCTAGACTGAAAATACAGCTGTAATAACACGGAGTAGTGTTGCTTAGAAAATTAACAGCTGAACTCATCCTGCCTCATAACTAGGCTTTCCTACTACGCTTTAAAGGAGATTAGTGCCAAGACTAGGGACTTGTCCAATCACTGAAAGGAACTTTCGTATCGCCATTTTTTTAGCCTGTGGACAGACCGAAATTTGCGAAAATTTCGGTCCGTTTTTGTGTATTTATATACAAACATTTTTTCGTGCACAACTATCTTTATGTAGAGCATTTTTTCGACCAATGGACGTTTTCGAAAATTTCCAGATTGACTCGGGTACGGGMATGTCTGAAGATTGCGTAAAATCTGGTCATGGCTGCTACTGTACTTACTTGGTTAAACATTTCTTTTAAAAGTTGATTTTCTGGCGTTTTGTCAAATTGCTAAAGAGAAAGGCAAGTTTGGAGTTTTAGTTCTTTAACTTTCATAATGGTACTGTATGCATGTATTGTGTACTTCGCAGCACACCCTTTTGTCGGGCTTCCTGTCCTTCTTTTGGAAGGAACAGGAAGCCCGAAAGAAGGGTAAGTAGGTTAAATGTCTCAACCTCGTTCCCAGGGCTACTCTGCTCGCTTTTTTCAGAGTAGCCCTGGGAACGAGGTTGTTAAATGTCTTTCCCACTCATATTAACGCTGTATTCAAGATTACCTTATCAAAAGATAGGACTGGCCTGGAACCTTTTAAGCAGTTCCCAGTTAGCTTTAATTCGTCCATTGTATGAACTTAAAAAAATAAAAGATAAAGAATAAGATTAAAAAGAGTACAGTATTTACTATAAACCTGTCAATTAACGACAAATGAAAKGTTTGAATTTGAAATACAATTATAATATTAAAAGATGTATCATTTATAACTTTTACTAATTGAATGTTTACATTGTAGAGTGGATTTTGTAGACTGTGCAAAAATCATGGCACTTTTTTAATTTGGTGTCTCTACCAGGCGAGGTTCCATGACCGTGCCGTCCCATGTCCTGTGTCCATGGTCTCTGCTTTTGCACAGTCATACAAAATTTGCTCTTGATGTACAAATCTATACTCAGCATCAATCAACTACAGTAACAGCATCACTATAAACTTACTATTTTCTACTAAAAACTTGGCTGAAGGACCATGGGGGGCAAAAGAAAACCTTTATTGATTTAAAAAGAAAAACATTAGCATCCTCTACAGACATTCCTGCTGTTTCCCCCCCACGACAATAACTCCATAAATTTGCACCACAATCTTTTCCCTTTGGTAAAAGAATTAACATAACAATTTAGCTTAAAGCATCCCCTGCAGAAATTTCAGCCGAGTGCCCCCACAACAATACATGTATCTTCATTCTATTCCCTTTGTTTAAAACAATTAACATAACAATTAGCTTAGCATCTTCTGTAGACATTCCTGCAGAGTTCTGCCCAAAACAATTTTCCCATACTGTACAACATTCTATTCACTTAAGTTTAAAACAATTTACATAACAATTAACCAATCAAATAAAGAGCAGCATGATGTAGATTGATGAACAATTAGCTTAGCATCTTCTGTAGGCATTCCTGCAGAGTTCTGCCCAAAACAATTTTCCCATACTGTACAACATTCTATTCACTTTAGTTTAAAACAATTTACATAACAATTAACCAATCAAATAAAGAGCAGCATGATATTATTTGTGTGAGTATATATAGACTTCTAACTAGTGAAACCAATACTATCATTGTTTTCTTTGTAGTTCAGTGAGATTTAGAAGGAAAATGTGTTCGATTCTTTAAATTCACTGGGAGCAAGCAGTGCCGTCAATGAATTTGGAACTAGGTTGTTAAATGTCTTTCCCACTCATATTAACGCTGTATTCAAGATTACCTTATCAAAAGATAGGACTGGCCTGGAACCTTTTAAGCAGTTCCCAGTTAGCTTTAATTCGTCCATTGTATGAACTTAAAAAAATAAAAGATAAAGAATAAGATTAAAAAGAGTACAGTATTTACTATAAACCTGTCAATTAACGACAAATGAAAGGTTTGAATTTGAAATACAATTATAATATTAAAAGATGTATCATTTATAACTTTTACTAATTGAATGTTTACATTGTAGAGTGGATTTTGTAGACTGTGCAAAAATCATGGCACTTTTTTAATTTGGTGTCTCTACCAGGCGAGGTTCCATGACCGTGCCGTCCCATGTCCTGTGTCCATGGTCTCTGCTTTTGCACAGTCATACAAAATTTGCTCTTGATGTACAAATCTATACTCAGCATCAATCAACTACAGTAACAGCATCACTATAAACTTACTATTTTCTACTAAAAACTTGGCTGAAGGACCATGGGGGGCAAAAGAAAACCTTTATTGATTTAAAAAGAAAAACATTAGCATCCTCTACAGACATTCCTGCTGTTTCCCCCCCACGACAATAACTCCATAAATTTGCACCACAATCTTTTCCCTTTGGTAAAAGAATTAACATAACAATTTAGCTTAAAGCATCCCCTGCAGAAATTTCAGCCGAGTGCCCCCACAACAATACATGTATCTTCATTCTATTCCCTTTGTTTAAAACAATTAACATAACAATTAGCTTAGCATCTTCTGTAGACATTCCTGCAGAGTTCTGCCCAAAACAATTTTCCCATACTGTACAACATTCTATTCACTTAAGTTTAAAACAATTTACATAACAATTAACCAATCAAATAAAGAGCAGCATGATGTAGATTGATGAACAATTAGCTTAGCATCTTCTGTAGGCATTCCTGCAGAGTTCTGCCCAAAACAATTTTCCCATACTGTACAACATTCTATTCACTTTAGTTTAAAACAATTTACATAACAATTAACCAATCAAATAAAGAGCAGCATGATATTATTTGTGTGAGTATATATAGACTTCTAACTAGTGAAACCAATACTATCATTGTTTTCTTTGTAGTTCAGTGAGATTTAGAAGGAAAATGTGTTCGATTCTTTAAATTCACTGGGAGCAAGCAGTGCCGTCAATGAATTTGGAACTAGGTTTCTGCTCTGAAAAAGTATGAGTGTACTGTATGAGTGCCACAAGCGTTACAGACGTTATTTTGGAAAATTAGTTCACCCAAACATCAAAATAGACAGGGAATTTCAGTTGCTGGTTTTTAATGAGAATCCTAAGCAAGATCAAGAGCTTGAATTTGTGCCTCAAATCAAACTATGAGCTTGCTGTGTTGTTATTACTTCTTTTCACAAAGCACCTGTTTTGACAGTGTGCTGCCAGAGGTTGAAGTTGACCCTTCGTTAAAGATCATTTACATCACCAAGCACTCATAATTTCAAGTTGGTGTCACAAATTTCGAGTCTCTCTTCCATGCTAGCCATTACATACAGACTCTGAATGCTGCAGCTGATTGGTCCATTGAACAAAGAGCTATATTGAAGAGACATTCACAAGGGCCTAGGAACTAATGAAAACTGCTGACTTGCTCAAGCAGTCAGCCATATTGTTTTTTACGTCTTAGTTACGGTGGAGCGTACATTCCTATCATTAATTCACATCGGAAAGGAACACACATCGTTTGTAAGTTATAATGTTGTTCATAATGACATGGTCTACAACTATTATAGAAATCTATAATTATTTTAGCTTGTCAAGCCTGTTACTTTAGCATAGTTTTGCTAAATGTTTGTATTACAGGACTTTGTCATTGTTGAACGATGACCAGCCAACACTATACACAAGCGATTAATTCCAGCCAACTACCTTTTCATCCTTTCTCCACAAAAGAATTCCATGAAATAAGAAATATAATATACTATAAGATACTAACTTTACAGAAACGTAAACTGAGCTGTATTTTACTGTGTTTTTCTTGTTGAGTTCTCAACTCACTTTGAAGCAGAACACAAATCAGTGACGCACAACTGATGATAACGTTCAGATACCTCAGTGAATGCTCAACTACAGGTTTGGTGAATCGTAGTTCTCTCAAAGCTCAACATTTAAGAGTCTGTTTGTGAACACTACATGTATCATGGAAGGGACAAACAGTGCCAAAAGAGATTGGTATTCCCTCCCATCCTTACAGCCTCAAAAACAAACCAAGTATATATTCTAACAAAGGGCACCTAGGGTACCTAGAGCTAGGTATGGACTTAATTTGGAGGACACAAAAAACCTCAATGTTTGGTAGTTCAGCAGACTACATTGTAGTTCAGCAGACTACATTGTATGCTATAACTTCATTGCACAGGCATGTCGGAATTATGCGCGAAATAAATCAAAATTATGCGGAATTTTTTCCCCATATTATGCAGAGAAAAGGGTGAATTATGCGGAAAATTATGCGGGATGACGTCATCACAGGAACGTAAACTTTGGGAAATTTTACATATATTTAGGTTATTGTGTTTGTTTTCATGCAAAACTCCGTTTTTATCTTAGTTACGAAGTACAGAAGGCAGTACCAACAGAAGGAAAGATCTTTTTAGACTTTTTCGTTCTCGCACGCTTTACATCTCACTTGTATCATACGCCATATTGGAATTTGTCACATGATCTAGTAAGGCACAGGGTGACCAGTAATGCTAGTGCCCAGACTCTTTTCTGATGAAATTTTGAACCCCTGGTACATTTGTGAAGCCCACGAAAACAAAACTATATTCAGAAAATTATAAGCATGTTTGGGAGTGTTTTTTGATGAAAAAAACAGTCAATGGACCACAAAAAAACATTAGTAGAAGGCAAGTCATCTTAAAAAATGGTATAACATGGGAAAAAAACACGAATTATGTGGGATTATGCGTGATTTGGTAAATTATGCGGAAAGGGGGCAATTATACGCGTCCACATCCGCGCATAATTCCGACATGCCTGATTGCAAATAGCTTGTTTTGTCATGGCTATTGAGTCAAGAACACTGTGTCTTTTATACAAAGTCAGACACATATGCCCACCTATTATGTGGATGGTTGGTTAATCATAATGACTCCGGAGAGTACCTTGAGGAATGAATGTAACATGCTGATGTATATTGGGTGAAACAGAGAAGAAAGTTTGAGAAAAATGTCATGTTCCTTAGGTGTTACTTAAACCCACAATTTTGGTATTTTAGCTGGATTAACTACAACATTTCAAAGGCCAACCACCTTGGATAGGTAACATTTTGCAATGCCAACTACATACAATCCAAGTTGATTTTTTAAAATGGTAAGCTCAACACCGTAATGGAATTACATGTACATGGAAATACAGTAATGAACTAATACAATGATTATACTGAAATTAATCAAATAATGACGTAAATAGTAATTAAAAGTAGATCTTAAAAAAGTGTGAAAMCCAAGTTAAGAATTTCAAAGATTTCCATACAAAGATGGAGCTGATGCCTTCATTTCAAAACATGGTCGTTCTTTCTCATTTTCATGAAATATGTAATTACTGATGTTTATAATATGCACACTTACCACATAAATAAATCTTTCTTTTTTCTCATTTCCAGGAAAATGCAAGTATTACAACTTTTCATCTCACAAACCTGAATAGTAAGTTTTCCAGATTTTAGGAATGGTAAATACATCCATGAAGAATTTGCCAAAATTCTATATTTTATTTGGATTTTAAGGGACTTGAGTCTAAACTACAGTACACATTAAGCTGTTCTTATGATTAACAATAGTCTTTTTCACAGTTTTCTGTGCTGCACACCTTGAAAGATATAGCCATGCCCTTGATAAACAAGAGATGACCCTTGAGCATGATGAGATAGAAAACTTCTTTCACACCTCTAGCATTATTCACAAGTATCTACCATTGACTGCTTAATGGTCAYCTCTTTTCAAAGTAGACATGGTTACCTATCAACATGGCACAGGGAACCATAACCCTAAAACAAGAATTCACTTGTGTCCAAATTGACAATGCATAAAATGTTAGTTGAAAACAATATTGCAGCCGTAATACAATTTTTTGTTAAATTATCTTTTTCTTTGGCAAGCTCAGTAGGAGTGCAATAAACTTGAACTTCTTGTTTAGGATTGGCTGTGGCATTGTATCCAAAGCAATATATTTCACAGACTAGTAACTTTATGCAGGTACTACATTCTGCTCACCTCATTGATAATGAAAAGTTTGTCCTTTCGATCAAGCTTTGTATCTACAGATAAATAAAAGATAGCTTTCTGTTAACTCATGATACAATGCAGCCAAGCAAGCAAAGGTGACTGATATRGTACACACTTGTATTAGTTATTTCAAAATACAAGATTAAAAGAGCAATAGGCAACTTGCAACAAAGTATGGGAGTTGTATTCCTTGCATTTTTATAACCCCTTAAAAATTATCCCTAAAAGTCATTTTTCATGGTAAAAATGGCACAACTTCTGAATATGGTAAGAAAGAGGTTGCAAAAATGCCTTCTMTGATGTTTTGTTTCACAAAATGACATTCCTTAGTTTCCATTTACCTGTTTTATGATGTGGTAGCAGGGTCCTTAGGTCTAGCATTAAATGTCTAGCTCTATAACAACCAAAACATAATTACATGTAYGTTCAGTGCAATATCATTGTAAATCACCATTCAAATTCACATTTGAAATCTGGACATCTTTCCTATTCAATCTACCATTTTTTTGCACACCATCAAACTGTAGTATGACCAAACAACTTTAAAGACTGTCATAGCTTGATGTAAGATACATTAAATGATTGGACAAACAGATAAAAAAAATCCAATCCATTAATAGCAGGACAAATGAAATATTGGGTGATGTCTGACTAAATGTTTCACAGACACCATCCAAAATGTATTGATATCATCMAACAATTTGAMAATAAAAGGACAACTTGTTGGGTCACCCTGGGTCTTCCAACAGGCATTTGATGCCAAAAAGCTACACCAGGGTACGAATTTGGCATTCAGTGTTGTCCTGTTAGTCCTAAATCAAAAAGGCAATGCAATATATAGCAAAGCATGATGGGAGTTGTAGCTATGTCGCACTTTTAGTCCTATAGCATCTAAAACAGTCCCTAAAAGCTGTTTTTTTATTTTCTTAGTAGAAATGTCACAACTACTTCTAGAAGAAAAACGAAAATCGGCATAAGTGGACTCTTTTAGCAGACATGAAAAGGTATAAGAGGACCAAAACTCCCAGCAATATGCTTTGCTATTTAAAATGACCTCGCTCCACATTGCCAGTTCAAACGTTTCTCGTAATGGCCGTGCGTTTAGTTTTCTTACCTGTGCGTTATACCTCTTCCACAAAACACAAGAACTCTTTGTTTATTTGTCCACTTGCCCTATTGAAAAGATTACAACGTATCATGGCTGTGAACACAGATATAGTCTACTGTACATAAGCTAGCTTACAGTAGCATAAAACACGTGCGCGCACACAAAATTCTGAAATTAAACATTCATCAGAGACGAATCAAAAATATCAGATGAGATTTTCTTTGGACAAGTGAAGTTACAGAATAGCTTACCTTTTTTGTTTTCTGTCCGGGAACTGAAATTGAAGTATTTTCATCTTCATCGAGATCTTCACTGTTTCTTTTAGACGCCATTCTTGCCAAAGCTAAAAAGCCAGGTTACCAAAGATGGCCCAAAGCCTTTTACTCACCCCCATCCCCTCCTACTACTAGACACCCCCTAATTAACTTCGCTACGGTTATTATCAAATTTTTAAGCWTTTTTTTGTAGAAGCGCATTATTGATTCAATGTTGTACTAAGAAATTTCTTGAAAGTTTTTTTAAGACTTATAAACTTTTAATGCAACTAATGACAAACGTAAAAGTCGAAAAACTCATAACGAAAATAGTCGACCTTACCCCTCCCCTATAAAACAAATTTTTGACGCTTTTGAGTCACGAATTCAACTGTACTGAGCTACACACCTTGTTAGGATTTAAAGCTTCTTTTTGCACAAGAAATTATCATTTTATTCATTTTTGCAATAATCATTTAAAAGGTAAATTGCTTTATACTTATGAAACAGCTTGGTTCTTGCAAAATTTGGAATTTCAAATTGACAAAAACGGGTTTATAACAGACTGAAATCGATTTTGTTTTGGTTGTTGAAGGTCACCAAAATGGGTTCCACAGTTAGCACAGCAATGGACGAAAACCTAAAGAAAAACCAAGCTTTCATGAAGGAAACGCAGCAACTACAGGTGTTTCAATGAGTTTTGGAGCTCACTAAAGCTATTAATAGTGTTTTACCCTTCGCTTTATATGTTACTCTTGTTGTTTTTAAAGTGATCATTGAGTTTACTGCAAATTAAGCTTATATCTAAAAAATACATGTCAGCTGATTATGTACTATATTATTATCATATACATGTATATGATGCCATACAGCCTTTTGCACAAATTATGAGACATTTTTATATATATAAATATACCTAACCAAATATCAAAAACACCCAAGAAATTATGGGATACCGTCGCTGATATTTTGTCTGTAACAACTTGATGCCAGGCAATCATGACAAAATATAATAGAGATATACCATAATTTCTGGGTTGTTTTTGATATTTGGTTAGGTATATTTATATATATAAAAATGTCTCATAATTTGTGCAAAAGGCTGTATAGATACACCTACTTGCGAAAACGTTGTCATAAAAAAATAGGACATTTGTATTTTAGTAAAAAGAAATAAATTATAAAGACAAAAGAAGGTCACTGAGGCTGAACGCTTTCTTTTGTTTTGTCTTAATTTATTCCTTTTTACTAAATTCGATTGTTCTATTTTCTATGACAACTTTTCTGCAAGTAGGTGTATACAATGCATAAAAATGCTTATTTTACCACAGGGACCCCAAAACATATTCCTTGTCATTGATTTTCACATCTTAATAGCTCATTGTGTACAATTTCAAGTTTCTTTGATACCAATGTTTCATATCCTCCATAAAATAGCTAGGAAGACAGATGCAGATGCAGACACAAATGCAGCGAAGACAGATGTCCATGATGCTTGCAGGCTCAAGAGAGATGTTTATGTGGTTGGCATCGTTCTATGGCATTGCTACTGTTGGAATGTTTGCAGGGTAACTATGATACTTACAGAGAAAAGATAGAATTAACCACAGGTAGCCCAAGTGCAAAGTTCATACTGTTTGACTTTGTGAAGAGGATAGTTTAGATGGCTGGAAAAAAGTTAAACTGCATGCAACTGAAAAATGTTGGCCGGTTTCCATTGAATAAGGCATGTTACATCCTATATCAATGAAGTGACAGTCTGTACCTTGTGAGGTTGCATCTGAAATTTTCTCTGGAAATTGACTTTTTCAGACAAAATTGCAGTTGCAACTCAGGCTATTCAGTCTTTTAAAGAATTGCAACAGACTCCAGCTTTCTCAACAATCCCAGATTTAAATTGCTGTTATAAAACGTCTGAAGAGAAAAATGTCACAAAATGTTTTCTAGTCTCTTTCAAGGGCATTTCTCCAGATACTTCTTTAAAAAGTGCTTCATGGACTCTCTGTTCATGAAAAARTGTTTCAAATGTGCGTGAAACATTTCATGGTATTTGCTTGCCACAGGTATATGAAGACCAAGAATCCTGCTGTCATTGCGCCATTCCTTCCATTGTCATTCATTGTWGGATATCAAGCAGATTACGCATATGGCAACAAGATTGACAGAATAAGAGGTGCGCTTTAGTATAATTACCCTCTTTGACTAGACAATCTAATGTCAATATAAACTGAGAGATTGTTTGTATGAAAGGTGAACAGTGCATTTTACCAGATTAACCCTTATTTAGCACATAAAAGGCTGGTTTACAACTTTACTCTGTTTTCATACAACTGGTCACATCTGTGTGTCATTATGTGTCGTGCCAATATTCAATTGCTTTCAACTGTTAGAGATTAGAAAGAGTGTCTTATCAATGTGATATGGAGATAAGAGTTTCATGGATTGAAGTACAATGTAATGATATGTAAAATTAATAAGTTTGGTGTTAAATGAATCAATATTGAACAAATTATAGCTGTTTGAAGATACTATAATTTCAAAAGAAATGTACAATGTGTTCTGGACTGAGATGGTTGGCCTGGTTTTGCACTGGAAATTCTAGCTTCTTTAAGCACATGTAATTCGTTYACTATTGATCTTGGCTTTGGCATTTAAGGCCCGGTTCATACGTCGAGCCAGCGTCGCGCCGAACCAAATAGTTTGAATTTACTAGTAGCACATGAACAGCTCGACGTATGAATCAATTGAGTTTGGCGCGACCATAGCACGGCATTGGCACGGCAGAGTCAGTCGTGCTGCACGGCAAAAGCTCGACGCTGATTCATACGTCGAGCTATCGTCGCGCCGAACTTAATTCACAAAAATATCTGTTTTCGACAATCATAATTGTGTAAATTGCGTGTTATCGCACCTTTTMTTATGCTTTTKASTGCAWTTGGTKCGACGTATGAATCAACGACGTACCAAATGGATTTGGGTCGACACAAATTGACTATTTGGTTCGGCGCSGCGCTGGCTCGACGTATGAACCGGGCCTAATTTTGTTTTCTAGATGAAGCAGAGCGGATCATGAGAGAAGAACCAAGATTATTGTCTCTACCCTATGGCTTGCCAACCTTTCAAGATATTGAAGAGGGTAGAAAAGCAGCTGAAAACAAAGCCACAAAATAATTTCAAACATTWTATTTTCATAATATCAAGTTACTAAAAGTTACTATATATACATGTACCCTTTTGGTCAAAACTACAAAATGCATATGCTCAAATAAGGAGATGAATAGCTATGGTCTGTTTTCTCTGACTCATAAGCACACATTGAGAAAAATTGGCTTATGTTGTCATACATCCAAGGACAAATTCTTTTTTGTACTTGTACGTGAAAACGCGTTTGCGGCTAAATCGACGGCGCACGMTTTGAAAATTGGCGGGAAAAATGCGTGCGCGTTTACAAATTAAACCATAATTTTGAAGTTCATTGAGAAGATTTTTTTTCTATCTTTAAAAGATATCTACAACTTTGACTACAATAATTGTACATTATGCAAAATGACGTCGGAAAGCCCAAAATAAAATTAAAAAAATGGAGAACTTAGTAATTGTTGAAGTCCGATACTAGATACGTTGTACATCACAAACGCCCATTTCTTTCACGGAGTCTTATCAGTGGTTGATTAAAAAGAATTGATATCTTAAAAACAAACTTTGCCGCGCTCCTTGTATTTTTATTTTGGGACAATGGCGATAATGTAAAAAAGATCGATAAGAATATATTTCTCATGTAAATGAGAGTTTTTAACCTTTTTAGAAAGTTAACGTTATAAAATATCGTATTAGTATATATCATTAATAGTGGCAACGTTTGAATATTTCTTGAATTTCTCATGTTTTTTTAAGTGATTGTTTTCCCACTTCAAGATATCATATCGCACTCTCTGACGTCAATATGAATATTAACTACGTCACATGACGTTACTGAATAGGATCAAAATACTCAAAAAACAATCCTCCAGTCAATTTAGATGTAATATATATCAGTCAACAAATAAATTTGACTTTCTCTAACATGTCATGGGGGAATGTGGGGGAGGTGGTTTCCGGGGTTCCGGAACCCCCTTCCTTAGCAGAGGTATTCTGAAATATGAGAATTTATTTGTCGAATTAATGTGTAGCACACTTTCAGATAGTCCAACAGCTTGTTTAGCGTGAATTCAAAACAATACTCGAGCAGTTTTTCAGTGAATTGCCTTCTTTTCCGTCTTGAAACCCGACAAAAAAGCTGATACCCCCACTCATGAATACGCCCATGCATGGTATTTCCATAATTGGAACATAACAATTATTTCCAATGAAATGTCTCCTTCTAAACTCAAAKTATTGTCTCGTTTCCCCCCATCAGTAAAGTTTCGAAAGTGTAAGTTTATAAAAGCTGAAAGAAAACATTTTCAATTATTGTTGTATTAGTCGACATGCATCTAATTTATTTTCAAAGTTATTAGGTAAGGCACCCATATTGAAGAAAAGTAAAAACAAATTATGCATATCAGGAATGTTTTTATAGCAACATTAAAAGCTATAACAGAGTTTCAGACATTGATTATATCTCMCGGCACCAAGTAATATTGACCAAAATGCACAATTACATAACCTCTTATCTTTCTAAAGAGAAAAAACCCAAATCAATTTGAATGATAGACTTTTATTAGAAACTTTCTCAGCTGCATGGAGCCTGGCTTTAGGACGTGACTGAGAAATCCCTAATCAGACAGAAATGATAACCAAGAATACATATGCATGTGGTTTGGGGTATTGCATTTCTCTTGTTTTTATTTTGCTAATCTATATGATAACCAATATCTGAAGTAAATGTTTACAGGGTCGGTTCTTTTTAATCGTGGAAGATTTGTCGGACATAGTTTGTAAATGTTATTTTTTCTGTTTTGAGATAATATTTGATGAAATTGTGTTGTGTACCACCTWAACCTCGAAACCAAACTTTGATATATTATCCACAAACGATTAATTACACTGAAGTCCACTTCTGAAAAATATGAAACACAAGATGTGGACTTTTGCAAAAATAAAGCACGTTTATAGTCAAGTGGCTCCGTGTTATCGTAAGAATAATCTTACTTTTATTTACGTTATTCTCTAAGATCACAATTATCAAAACTCTTAAAGAAAAATATTGTTAAAAATCAAAAACCAATTACGCGTCACTTCAATTTGGAATATTAAAATACATAGAAAACTTTCTCATTAAACGCCACAGACGGCGCTTACTTGAACGCTGTTCCAAAATAGCTCTGGTCGTGAAAGGATTCGACGATAGATTACAAGACCTTCAAACATCCATTTAACCTTTTTTTAAAAGGTTTCAATATTAAWATGCGACAAAATATGGTAATATCCTAGATGGTTTCAACAGCTATGGGATCAAGATGTCGATAGTTTCTTGTAGAAAGGTAGGATAATTGATTTTCCATGTTTTACCCATATGTGAATATACAAAAACAAAACAATAGGTTTTCCTCTCTGGAATCCCTTTATGGAATCTAAAATAGTTACCTGAATTAGAAAACCATGAGAAAATCACATCTGGTTKGTCTTGGCGAGTTTTGTATCCATGAYAAATCARGCTATCTTTTTTTTAAATTCTCGATTTATTTGTTTGGTTGAATCAGTTTGCTACTGTTTGCGTGATAATTTGCTCAGTTTTCAAGATCTAAACATATGTTCACAGGCAGTGTTTCTGTTAATTTGCTTTCGCTACTTCGCTCATTCCATTGCTTGTATAGGGGGAAGTCACGRAAAAAGGGAGCCGGGGCGCCCGAAAAGAATTAACATAGAGAATTACTAGTATAGTAATAACTSACAATGAAAAATATAAAATAAGTGAGAAATATGTGGGAACATTGCTTTGAAAATGCTGCTAATTTCATTTATGCGCGAATTGTATTATTTTTCCTTTTTGTTCATTAAACATTTGTTCGTCCTTTTTTCTTATAATTGTATATGTTTTTCCTTTAGAATTCGGCATTTCTAGCTTCATTACCCTGTCTTATGAACTGCGTTTAAGATGAAGTCAGAAAGGGCTGAGGATTTATAAAGTTCAGTTGTGCGTGAACACTGAACAACATCGAATTTCTCATACTGATGTGYCAGTATATTCTACTCTACTGCCACCGTATAACAATTTCCAAAAGTATTTTCGACAGTTAATTTTTAAAAGGGGATTCATCCAGGTCGGTAGTTTTGTACAATCTTCCGCAAAGAAAATGTGTCGCTGTCTCCCCTACCCTGATACAAAGTTGTTTGGATGTCCGTCTGCTAAGCATTACCGGGGAAAGCATGACTTTTTGTATAGCGTGGAAACAACATCGCTGAGGGGAGGGGATGTAAAGACGTAGGAACTCGACGTTTTTTTTGGACGGAGATTCTCGTACTTCTAGCAATACCATGATGCACTTCGCCATAGCAACATGACGTCATTGATTGCAATACCCTATCTCACTGTCATTGCTTCAATAAAACCAACTCGCTCGCAAATATCACATACACATTATCCTTTACCAAACTAAGGGACATCTTTCTTACATATTTCATATTATGCATTCCTTTTTTTCGCATTTCCATATGTTTTTTCACATTTTGGCTCTCAAAAAGCATTCTTTGATTTATTCTCGTTTTTATCCCCTCCCCCCTCACTTTTCTAATCGGTGTTCCAAGTATGTAACGTACGTGTTTGCTCTCCACCTTGATTGGATTAACCAGAGTGATTGCGGCTTAGCAATTATGATGTTATCTTTATTAATGAGACAGCGTATCACTCTTCCAGGTGAGAAAAATAAACGATGTGCTTTTTTCTGATCACGCGATCCCACCGGAAAATCTGACAAAATTCTTAAATTTCTTAAATGATACTTTTTGAATCTAGACAAGCAGAGTAGATTTATTACACTTGCTATAATTCAATAGTCTGATTATAGTCGATTTTTCGAGATGCACGCAGCGCAAAAATATCGCAGGCTCGAGAATGAAAATGAGGTCTTTTGGGGAAAGYTTTTTGTCCCCAAATACATCGTTTTCATACGATTTTTTTGAAAGTGACCGCGCGGATCTCGGAAATCGTCTATTTTTGGCTTGCTTGTGTCAACAACTATTTCAAAAACGGCTGTTCGATAGGACAGCGTAAAATAATTGGCGAAAAGAAGGGAAATGAAAATTCGATCCAATCTAKAAATGCATCCTGAGAACAGACAAACGAATCATTGCTGTATCAGTGCTAAAAATATTTCGAACATCTAATCTACCAAATCCAAATGAACACTGAWTCGAACAAAAGAACAAGTGATCAGAATMTTGCTAATTTGATGATTGATAATTGAACGAATATCAAGGTGGCCACACCCAAATCAAAACATCAAAACAAACACTGRAAAAAATCGCGCGCTTTAAAGGTTGTAAATTTGATGTAAATATGATGTAAGTGTCCAAAATTCTGTAAATGATGTAAATGATTTCCATTAAATTTACAGAATTATGGACACTTACAKCATATTTACATCAAATTTACAACCTTAAACGCGCGCGRTTTTTTCCAGTGAAACCAGGGAGATAAACAAATAATTCAACAAAAACATTTATTAATTCTGTATATTTGGAGAATCAAATTGTGCGCAATCTAAGCTAAAACAAACACAGAATATGCTAATTTGTCAGTTCAAATCAAAGYGACCACRCCCATTTGTAGTATTAAGACAGCTTTCAAATAAAATAATTGCAATGTTTCCGTATAAACCAAGTGATAACGCACTACATCTAAAGATAAATTCACCAACCTTTCTATTGATATAATCTTATTGTATCTTAGTGGGTTTTTCCTCGCCTCACACYAGTTTTATTATGTAGACGACCCTCAGGGACATTTCCTTCTAATTACATGAACAATATTCCAACCAAAGCCGCCTACAGTGACCATTGTCTAGTTTTGATTGATATGGTTAATCACTTTCTAATCAAAGGTCAACAGATAATACTCTGATTTACAAACCCTCGTAAACTCCTAAACACTCATCCGTGCTTTCTTTATCAGAGAATCGAGAACATCCAGTATATGTAAGTGTCGTGTCCTTATCTTCAAAGATCACGCTAGAATAAAACGAACGCAGCTTTTCCGCACYTCGTGCGCGCGGGGAGTTACGCCGCCGCACGTCTTCCGCGGTAGATTAATCGTTAACTGACAATTAGACGTAATGAATTCAAGGTTTTTGAAAACGTAAAGACACAGRAAAAGCGCGCCTGAGATGASTTTGTAAATCACTTCGTTTAAAGGATTAAAATGCAATTCGCGATTATACCCAAATGAATGTCCACGCAGTTTGCCTCCGTGTAAAAATTACATGATGATTTGACCTGGKAGAGACAGAATCTGCAAACAGGCTGACTTAACAGCGAGYTCTTTGAAAGACGGAACACAAGGTCAGAGAGTTTGGGGTCGTTTTCATCCCCATGCTGTTATGGATTGGTATTAATTAGAATCTTGCTGGGCATTGCGATTATTGATATGTCGTATTGCGTCTTGTTCAACAGCAT